AACATTTTTGCCTCCGGAAAGTCTGTGTTAGCAGGGCAAAAGTCATAAATTTGTACTGCATGTTCCATGTTTTTTGTATACCTAGCAAAGCTTTGGAGGTAAATACTGATCCAGCTTGCGTTTAACAAATCAAGAAGAGTCGGATGCTTTTCTACCCTTATCATGAGTCCGTATTTGCGTATCAGGTGGCACAGGATATACAGTGTCACAGATGTGCGGATCGGGCGGGGAGTTCATCATACATACACCACTTTACTAAAAGATTCGAAACCCCAAGCGAACTTGCCACATCAATATGCGCGCTCTCTTCGTTACAACATGCGTGGCAATCGCCGCATGTGAATTGAGTATGCTTCCACAAGCCGGGCCATCTGGTATTCCGACCAAGCAAATGAATTTATTTCCAGATAGTCCTCCACCACAAGGTTATTGAAGACCCAAGAGGAAGGAAAGGAGGAGGTTATTCTTCACGACCAGCTCGAGGCAAACACGAGCACGTCATTTCAAAATAATGAACACGACTTTGCGCACGAGAAAAAAGAGGAGAGAGGCAATGTTCTTGCTGAAGTCAGCACGATGGGGGAAATAGATGCTAAATCTGGCAAATGGCTTTGGGATAGACTTTCAACAAACATCGCTCTTGTAAAGCTTGGGCTTCAAACCGCTGAAAAATACACGATTTTTGCCGAGAAAAGCTTCCTCGATTGGAAAAAATACAAGGATCGTTACAACGACTTATACGCCGAACAATCTACGCTCTACGATACTATTATCTATTACTTCGGACGTTACGGTTTTGAAGGACAATGTACGCGGACCGCGGGCCAGTAGATGATAAAATATTGGAGGATTGGCTGCTTCATAAGAAATCGCCCAAGGATATTTTTGACGAGTTGCACTTCAACACTTTCACAAATGTTGATAATGTTCTGGACAACCCGATGCTGATAAATTGAATCCACTACGTGGTACTTTACAAGAACGAATACTCCGCGGAGAACACCCCAATTTATGACACATTCTGCACGTACTTTAAGCCGTAAGCCGTCATGCTACTACGGCGGATACGGATCGATTAGAGCTGATAGAGCGTTATAAGTTGTCGATGGAGAAGGACAAAACACCCCAACAGATTTTCTATGAGCTGGATCTCAAAACGTTTGGCAGGAATAACGCCAATTTTCTGACCACACCAGAGTTCGCATACTGGAAAAGCTACATGGACTGATACAATCAAAAACACCCTGACAGTCAAGTAAAAGTCGTTGAAGTACTTGATAGCAATTTTGGATCCCATGTAAAGCCCAAAATCTTTGACGGTGCGCGCAAACAGTGGCTGAAAATAAATGCAAGCCCAACGGTTGTCTTCAAGCTTTTAGATATTAACAAAGCTGGCACGAAGCTTTATGCAGGTTCTTATTTACCAGAGTGGTCTAAGTATGTGGATGAACTCTACAAAAAGCAGGTTTCCCTACTCCCATGGATGAGGCAATTTTTTGACGACACACAGTTGGTAAAGATCGCGCACGCTACGTCCAATTACCCACTACGCGACCGAAATGGAGTCCTGCATAGAGTGGTAAAGGATCTGTTGATGTCATGGTATGAAAGTAGCATGACACCCGATGCCGCTTACAGTCATCTTCAGCTTAACAATATCGAGGGGAATATTTTTGAATCGGATTGTTTTGCTTTTTGGTTAAAGTATGTGGATCATTTTAACGTGGAAGAAGGAAGAGGAAAAGGAAAGGGATCAGCAAAAGTAGACAAAAGAACTCGATATTCAGCTCTATCGCTATTGACGGAGAAATATGGAAATGCCAGTTTGGTAAAATGGCTTAAAGAAGCAATCCATACTAAGACCCTGAAGCCTGTGACCAAACCCTTTCTAAACGACCTTACACAAATGCTGCAGAACACATATCCTGAGGAACTTGGCATTTTGGAGAAGGCGCGGACAAGAAAAGGAATTTTGTGGAGTCAACTGATAGCCAAACTCCAAAAAAATGAGAATCTCGTCTTAACATACCCTTTGTCGACGGACGCTTGGCGAATATGCTTTTCTTTCAGCAGGCCGGAAGCTTGCGGATGGCGCTTCGACCGTAACGGTAAGAAAGCAATAATCTAATGAGTGAGTGATCGGGTACGCCATAGATTGGCATTCGCCGTGCAATGAGCATGTATGCAGTGTTGGTAACCATAGCTACTTCGTTTGCCATCCATTAGCATGCAATATCATCAAATATATCTTCTTTCCTTACATTGTTACACGTTTGTTGTACTTTCGAAACAATCATCACCTGCCAACCCTGTCCACAATGACTTACTAGATCGATGTGGTGTTTGTAGATGAACGTTTAAATGTGTAGTTTAACGCAATCACGAGGACTGTTTTGCAGATCGGCTTTCATCATCGTAAGCAAAACCGAAAAGGTTGGTGACAACTAGGTCTACCGCATGAACACTACTGGATTGCACATCTCTTCAGATATATTTCGCGCACCAGACGTTTCGTGATCGGTAGCAGGATTATAGGGCAATGACAAGGTTTTACGCTTGAGTGTAAAGCGCTCGACGTCATCATATGTTTTTATGAGATAAACAATGGTTTCCTCCGACCGATTGCGAGGACAGTTTTGGATGGCCTGGTGAAAGGTAGCCCTTAACCAAATGGAGATGCGTAACGGATGAACGAGCCATCATAAAATTGCCGGAAGTATTTCTTACTATAAGGAGGTGTGTACGGAATAAATGGGCAGAAGAGGTGTGAACGGCGTTGTAATTGATTGAATAGCACCGTCAGCACACAGAACTTGGAAGTGATAACTTTAAGTAAGTTTAGTATGAGAGCAAAGAAGGGAGGGGGCACACCTCCTGATGTGATACGCATAAGTTGACAAGTAGGGAAGAACGAAGGTTGGATTCTAAAACCTGCAAATGTCTGCTCTCTGGGTGCACTGATAATATCGAGGTTGCGAATATTTCACTTGGAGCCGTAAAAGGTCAAAGAATCACGGAAAGTGAAACTATGTGCGGAATATAAGAGACACAGCCGTTCAAAATGCTCGAGATTGACATGCGAACAAGGAAGTTGATGGAGAAATGGTTTTTGTCAATACCAGCGATGTACAGCAGGGTACGGAATGGTCATGAAGGTGCTGAATATCAGGCACAAAATTTGGACATACATACTGTGCTGATTTTCAGCAATTGCCATGATCCATCCGCATGGACAAGTGGAAAGGCCCCGAACGACTGATGTCGGCACAAGCTTGTATGGCTAACGGATTGGAATTCGCAAAATACCAGACACAGGCACCTAACTATGCTTGAAGGTAACTAAGTGGTTGTTTGCAATATGAATGATTGGTTAAAAACGTTTTCAAGGGCCAATGTTCTTAGTCTAGTTGGAGATAGCGCTAGAGAAAATCAGAAGCTGGAGGATAGGGAAAGGCATCACTTCCGACGCGCACGGATTGATGAAGATTGTTTGATTGCGAAAGCATTTTGGGGTACACGTGGATATTTGACGACGTAATTACCCACATCGTGTGATTAAATGATGAGCGTTAAGATGCAGATTACTGTCAAGACGCAATGGAGAGGATAACGAGGTGCAACAAAAAGAACGCTACATAACAATCGGTTGCAAATGAATGGCGAAGCAATCCGGTGTGTTCAGACAGGCCTTGCCAGTAAGATGGACCAAACATGGTAAGCTGTGCGATCGATGGCACGACTAGTCGCGAGAGGGATCATACGTGGAAGTAAGACTCGGCTCGAATTGTTTTGCCAGACCAAAGGTTAAAACGCTCCGCGGTTTCCAGTGAGGAGCTTGCTGTGTGTGGCCAAGTGGGTACAGAAGTCCACAAGCTGCACTCAATCAAGAAATCAAGAGTGGGCAAAGTTGGCGAAAGGATCGAGCATATTTTAAAGTGCGACGGGTGCGAAGATGAACATGGGTGTCTCCAAACGAGTTGTATATTAATCTTTGAGGTATGAAACGACATGGATTTCATGACCGATTAGAATGACCAAAATCGGTGATTGAAAGAGTATTCACTTTGAATAGAGCTGTCGTGCACTGGATGTGCAATAAATGGACTAGTGTTTTAATGGAGCAACTGGTGCCGGCTTCGCACGTTGAGCGTAATCTGCTTGGTCTGCGTGATCTGATGAAGTGCTTTCGATTTGGTGCGGCGGAGTCACTGGCAATACTGATGGTCACCCAGGCTATGATCAAGCAATGGAGTCGCAAGACAAGCATGTAAAATGCGGAGCACGTGGATACTAAAATGAACTTCCATTCGGGATCCGTGGAAAGAGTTTGCCAACACCTGCTTACGTGGAGTACTAAGTTATAAGTTATATCTAGTGTTCTTTGCAAACACCACCTTGATTTCTTCGCAGCGGTTTTTACTGGATGCAATACTGCATTATGTAAATTAATGGAACATGAACCGCCCTGCTCTTGGTTTGCTTACGTTCTGAGTGGCAGCAGGAACAAAGCAAAGATATGCTGACCTTTTGTCGTGGTATTATTGTAGAAAATTTCCTTCAAACAGCAGCAAGAATCGGCCAAGCACATGCATAAGAACTTTGAAGAACAGCTAGCAAAATGGATGCTCAACACCAGCGTCGCCGTCTTTTAATCGTCATCCATTGCAACATCTTTCCGACGTTTTCCATTCTGTTTACCAACCTGTGAAACGTGGAAATTGAATCACCGGACGACGGATAACAAAATAACGCGGTTAAGAACGGGTTGCCATGAGGTCTTTGATGGATGGATTCACCAGTCGGTCGGTCGTAATGGAATCATGTAGTGGATTAGATATGATGCTTGAAACAATTCAAATATCCGCTATCCTGCATAAACGTGTCATGCGAGTCGGTTGTAATATGATGCAACGAGGTCATAGCATCACATTGGTCGCTATAGAAGACATACCAAAATAGCTTTGTGCAAGTTTGCAACATAATCGATATTTTTTACAGGCTCAAGCACATGACTCATCCTCATCGCCGTTATCCTCGTCAGATTCTGCCACCAATACGTGGATCCGGTGCCACGCATTGTTTAGTATGCCACGCATATTCCAAATAGGAGCAATGGTATCAGGTTGCACGTTGTAGGACGCATCTACGGCCTTGCATACGATGTCTAGTTTCGTTGTGCCAAGAGGAATTTTGACATCTATCTCCCAAGGAGTCCACGCCCAAGCACGGTTGTATGTTTGACGTTTACCAGACTCATGCAGCTCAGCAGGCGTCGAGGTCTTACCGCCGTCCGTTGAAACGTCAACACGAATGATGTTTCGACCGCCGCCACTCCAGGCGTATCCTTTCACAGTCAAAATAGAACTATCTGACGCATCATGCACAAAAAAACGGCTCCATCTTTGGGCTCAGTAATTGCAGATTGAACAGGTAGCTCCTGAATAGATTCACCAGCATATTTCCAAAAGTTGTCATGAGAGTAATCTACATTAGGTGGAAACCCCTTGTAGTCACGCTGCTGCCAGAAACTAGGGCTTTCTTCGCTTGAAAGCACGATACGGTGAAGAAATTTCACGTTACGAGCACCTACTGTGCCAGGAACAATTACACGCAAAGGATATCTGTGGTCACGCGGGATCGTTTCACCATTCATCTCAAATGCAAGCAGTACATCCTTCCGGGGGTCCAACGCGGTGGAAATCGGAATCGACGCACCATAACAGTTTCCCTCTATATCAGCATCCAGCCCTTCAAAATGCACGTGCTGGATCATCGCATTGAAATCGTTGCGTACGTCCGTGTTTTCTCCCACCTCGCACTCATACTGTCCATTTCGCAAATCTTTGTCCGGAACTAATACTCGCGAGCACGTCCGACAGCAGCACACCCGTCCAATTAGCAGTAGATATCGCCGTCGTATCCCAGCTCAGTCCATTAACTGGTTTCACCGCTGACATCTCTGCACGTCGGTCGCCAGCGCACTGCACCGTGGTAGTCACCGTGTGTTGTTTAAGCTTACTCTTTAAATCATTCAATGACAATTCGATGCCATTTCAATACCCAGTCCAGAAATTTTCAAAGTAACATTCTTGATATGTACTTCTGGCACAGGCAAGTGATTTCTTACAAAGAACAATTTATTCGGAGTGGTAAACGACTCCATCAACAGCTCTGCTGGCGGCTCAGCATTGAATGGCATACTCGAATTCACTTTAAGTGCTGGGTGACGCATCGGATCTTGACTGTATGGTCCTTCTTTATATTTTGCTTTTCGCACAGCTTCCAGCATCTTTACATCTTCATCTCGCAGGTTCCCAATCCTCAAAGTTTTAAAACCTTGTACACTTCTGCGTGATTATGAGCAGCGTAGAGCTGCCAAAAAGGTTCGATCGAGGTGCCAGCAGCCATTAAAATCTTTGTTCCACCTGAATGCGATCCAATAAACTTCGTAATGTCGTAGACACCACACTTGTAGACAACCCACGTGCTGCTTTTGTTGGTTCCCGTGTGCTTGTGAACCTCATCAATCGTGTAAGTTGGTAAATCTGCTTGTTTTTCACCTACAACCACCAATTCATCCTCATGATAATCGTTTGGTTGTTTCCTCCCTGTGTCACCTTTTGTTCACATTGTGCATTGCAAAGTGCCAATCAAGCACACGATACTCCAAAGATGCAGGCTCTCCAACAATGTAAATGCTCGTAGCGACGAGGTATCCACTTACAAGATGTAACAGCATCGGAGCGGACGGTCCGAGGAGGATGGAAACGACGCAATGCTACAAACATGGTTGGTTGTCAGTGCGTGACGCAAACCAGTCAGTGGCGTATTGCTCTGAAGACGCAGTCAAATGTGGCAGTAGACAGCTCAGTCCCAATATCATTACTCTGACCATTCAAAATGTACTGATTTGTTTTCTCTTTCGCTCAAGCACCATCAAATGCCTTCCCCCGTCATCACCACGACTGTTGCTATTGTGTCTAGTGCTACAAGCATTGGCTTGGCATTCTATGCATTAAAGCTACGCGCTAAGATTGCATCCATTGCACTTGATAAAAAGACAACCACGAATGTCATCAAGACCACCAAGATCTTACGCGACAGCCATGGCAACAGACTTTGGAACGCCGAGGAGCTCATTGCACAACGACGTAGCATCTTTCCACCAAATTTTGACATTGAGCGTCGCGTGTCCCGTGAGGTTCTGACCAAGATGCTGGAAGGTGCCAACTGGGCGCCCACACATGGCCGTACTGAGCCCTGGCGCTTCGTGGTGTTTGAAGCCCCTGACAAACGCCTGGAGCTTGGCCAGCTCATGGCAAACGTGTACAAGAACACGGTCCCTCCCAACAAGTTCATTGAGACTAAATACAAGAAAATGATATTTAACTGTACTGCATCGTCTCATGTCATTGCCATCTGCATGAAGCGCCAGAAGAGTGGCAAGATTCCAGAGTGGGAAGAAATATGCTCTGTGGCTTGTGCTGTACAGAACATGCATCTCGTCGCTACTGCTTACGACATTGGTGCGTACTGGAGCTCAGGGCCACCTATTACAATGTCGCAGGAGATGAAGGGCTATCTTCAACTTGCCGAGGCGGACAAGTGCTTGGGACTGTTTTACGTTGGCGTGCCCAAGGAAAACGCCAAGATTGCGAAGGGTGTTCGCAAACCAATTGGCGAGAAGGTCACGTGGTTTTGATGATATTGTAAAACTATTTGCAAGTTTGTTTGATGCTGCTACGTAACATTCAGCAGTGTGAGAGTAGTCACGCTAGATAGAAAACAGAGCTACTGCTGACCAGAGATCACTAGAAACGGCCAATGTCCGTGTCGTTGGGCTTTCACTTCAGGATAAACGTATCAATACGTTCGAGTGTAAGAAACAACCGTATACGCTGCTCGAATGTGTTATTTCTACCTAACACTGGTCATCCACGGTCTCAACATAGTGCTGCGTTGTAGCTAAAAAACTGCTTCACAGATGGTAACTAGCCTTGTAGAGTGGCAAAGACCCTAAAAATCGCACAACGCCATTATTCCTGGTTTTGTCAGGCTCCAGAGCGCATGCATAAGCTAGCAGTTGAATCCCGCTTTTAGCCGCAACCGCACACAGTTCTGCAAATTTCTTGTCATGCTGGAAGGATGGAGCGAACTCGTTGCAATCGTCGCGCTGTACCAGGAGAATTATGGTACCACTCAGCTTGTATGTTGAAGTCTTCTTCTCCTGGCTTCCTTGAACCTTAGCGGTTGCGGACAGTAGGTCGGCTAATTCAGTAACATGTTTCTGTGCTCGAACCGAGATCGTGTCAGGGAATATTGCGCACCGCGATGAACTCTTATGAAGTTTATCCACCGCTAACGTAACGCTTTTCACTTCGACATATTGCTCATGAATAATGGCGCCATCCTTGGCATTTGTCGTCAACACAAAGTCCACACGACTGTTCTTAGCAAACTTTACCTCGCGCCGTACAGAGTCATAGTGACCAAGCTCTGTTAACCACCGAGATGCGAGCGCGTGCTCAACCATTCGATTCGCAAAAGTCAAGTGCACGCCAACCCACACGTTTCTTTCTCCATTCTGCAACAACCATACAATTCAGTATGCCTAAATGAATGACCATTTTAACAATATCCATTACATACATGTATCTGGATCATCTCAAGCGTGTACGCGTACTTGCGCTTCGGGTCGCTACTCTTGGACAATTGCACACGTGCATTCGGTAATCCTTCCAGAAGTCCAACCATCGGTCCAGTATTCGGACAATACACAGTCGCTATCTCTGTAGCATTGAGTTCCACACTTCCATCATCTTCTGCTACCCACTTCTTCTCACCAACAGCCTCAACGCCTTCGTCCTTCTTAATTTCATTGAGAAGGACGACATCGGCTAGAAAGCGCTTGTAGCGACGAAGTCGTCGCGCCGGTACTAAATTTGAATACTTGAGCAGAACTTTATGGTCGTTTGAGTTGTTTAGTATACGTTTTTTCAATGCTGTGAGCACCGGGAACTTGGAAGGGGTCGGTGCTACGACAGAATTTGCTGGAAAAGACGTCTTCTTCTCCTTTACTGCTTTGTTTTTCTGCAGAGAAGAAGAGGAGCAACTACTGGTATTGGACGTTGTAGCAATTGAGATAAAATCACGTTTTCGACTGCGTAATGGTATCGTTGAAACAGTCCTGCCGACACTTGGAGACCTTGCCATGTTTTTTCGTCGTCGAGATTGCTTGTCAAGAATGACGCGAAAGATTGGATGGAATTCAGTTGTAACAACAGTTGATACATTTTCCATCTTGTACAGTCTATCGAAAGAATTTGTCCAAAGTAGCTGAGAGATAAATAAATACATACATACCATGCTTGACATAAATTACTTCCATACGTCGTAGTGCTCAATCAACCACGGACTGCATACCAGGAAATAGCATCAAATATATCCCAACACACGTGGCTTTTTGTGCAACATGGTTGGTTGCCAATCTAATGCAACCAAGGTAGTAAGTTACAGAGGGAATGCAATTGAAACTTGTGCTCACGATGCATGTGTATAATGCTCAAACCCCAAGCAAAAAACATTTCGGCGTCAAATGAAAGGTCCGATTCAGGAAATGGGACTTTATGCTGGTCAACAAGTCCCCGGCGACCGCTAAATACTGTGCTCATTCTCATATCACAGGTTCCATTATTTCGATCCAAACTCGGTTTCCCACTCTTCGAACCGACGGAGTTGGTCGTGCCCTACTGACTTGGAAACGTTGTCCAGCGCTTCAGCGAAATCTGCCTAATCCATGCCACATGTAGACAAATTTTAGTTACACCTTGACAGAACGAAACCAAACATCTTGTTCCACATGTACACCTTAGTGACCACAAGTCGTTGTGTCTCAAGTTCACGAAATTTTTCGCCTACTTCCATCTCACGCCGCATCTTAAGAAGCAACTCGGGAGTGTAGACCCTTTTTACAGGCATCCGCTTGGCTAGAGCATAGCAACAACATATGTAAGTAACATGACGTCAATGAGCTATACTACATGTACGGTCATAACATTCAAGTGCTTGCCTGTTTCGCAGACATTCGTGATGTCGTCACCGCTATAGCCCTGTGAAGTACGCGCAGCAACAAAAATTAGAACAAACAGGCAACACACTAGCGCAAATATGCACATACCTCCGTTTCCTGGACAAGATCGTCTAAATCAACATCCGAGTCCAGGTCAATTTGGCCCAGATTCAATTCAAAAATTGCTCGGCGTGCTTTCGTTTCGGGCAAGGGGATGTAGACACGCTTTGTCAGTCGCCGCCGCATAGCCTCATCAAGTTCCCAAGGAAGATTAGTAGCCGCAAGAAGCATCACTTGGCTACCAGTGTGCTCCCCAGATGACACGCCATTAATTTGAACAAGAAGCTCCGTTTTCACCCTGACCGTACAACCAAGGGTCCGTAAGAACTAATTCAACAACGCTCATTGTTGTCATACACTGAAAAACCTTCGGCTTGCTTCATGTTCAGTTGCAGCACCTCGAGTCGACGCAATGGCGTCAATTTCATCCATAAAAATAATGGATGGCTCGTAATATCGTGCCATGTCGAAAAGAATTCGCACCATTTTTTCCGAGTCACCGCGATACTTTGACGAAAGTGTCGAAGCAGAAACATTGAAAAAAGTCGTTCTGCATTCATGTGCAACGGCCTAGCATTCACATAAAGTTTTTTTTGGTAAGGTGAGTCATAGTCCAATGCAAACGCGTCTCTAGTGAAAATGAGTACCTTCGCAAGAAGCGTTTTTCCAGTTCCCGGAGGACCAAACATCAGGACACCATTGCATGGTTTCAGCAGTCCATCCTTTAGAAATACAACACCTCGCACGTTAGCATGGCACATGACAAACACTATGTTTGAAAGACAGCTGAACGACACAGCAAACCGTAAATAGGTGTGGTGCAATCTGTGGAAGCATCGCAGTCTCCTGCAAAAGCTGCTTTGTATGTTCCAGGCCCGCAATATTCTCAAAAGTCACTTTTTCGCCATGATCCACAATGTCCCGCTCAATAGCTTCAATAAGCTCTTGGTCTACCCAGCCATTGTCTCTGGCCACTTCTGAGTACTTCACTTTGCCTGCAATCATCTCATGGTGCGACTCAATATTAGTTGAGCTTGCTGTGCTTTGGACACTCTCACGCCGCTTTGACGATCGCGGCCCCTGCCCCATCTTTCGGTGTTTCAAGTCTGTATTTGAAGTCGATGGTACCCGGCTACGCTTTGCGCCATTACAAGGCTTTTTATCTGTCCAAAAGGCACCAAAGTTACAATTGCCAGCAATGCATCGCTAACAATAGTACTATAAACTCCCACCGTTTCCTAAAGATGACCTGGTCGCTGGTCTCATCGCGCTCTTCCGACATTGACGCTGTCGCGCTCTTAACATAATAAGTTAGCAATGATGCTAAGTCACAGCTCTAACCATACAACGCACTTTGTCATTGTAGTACCACGTGGCACTCCTTTATGCATCCACAATGGCGCTCGTTTTTTCTTAGCTCTTTGATCAGTTGCAGCTGAGCCACAAATCGTGCCTTCCTGCTCCACCTTCTCACACTGTAGCCAATCCTCACCGTCAGCTTCAACTAAATTCATTTTTAACCATTCATCTTACTCTATGGATAATACTTGCAGCTTCACCTACAGCGATGGTCCTCGCTGCCTGCTCCTCTTGCTCCAGCCGCAGTCCTCTCTCGTTCACGGCGTTGCTACGTCTCTGGACTTGTTGCATTTTTCTCGCTGCAATCTTCAAACCTTGCAGCATACTCATATATTCCACGATCATACAATACTCGTGCTGTAAATCTGTCAGGAACTATAATAAAACAAACAAAGTCATGAGATAAAGTGTGACAAAGAAATGTTGCTGCTAGATTTAATAACACCTCTTGTGCTTCAAGGTCTCCTCCATGATACGTCTCCAGTGTCTTTATTATAGCATCATATTCCGCAATACCGTTGTCGTAATCACCTAATAGACACAGTTCTCTTGCACACAACAAACGTTGCTGCGTGCTCTTGGCAGTCGTGTTGCTGTTCATGGTGGACGTATGTTTCTTGCTTGTGATTGGGTAAAATCAATTCATCTAAATTACGGTCTATTTTTGTTAGTAGACCGGTAGACCGGTATACCGGTACAACCCCATGTCGCCCGATGCCGACACGTAGCGCAAGTAAGTAGTCGTTGGTTTGTCACTTGCCATCTTAAAGAATTACCCAAGGAAGCAAGAGGCCTTTTCTCTCTTTTCTTTCATTACTAGAATCGAATATTGAATCATGCTAACAGATTTGCAGATTGTAGCCATTATAGTGACGGGCATTACCGCCGTGCTTTTGATTATGGCGGCTCGTGTACTAATGCCACAGAAAACGAATGAAGTTGATGAGTCGTTACAGGCTATGATTAATGGCTTTGACTTTGCATTACCCGAAGAAGTGGAACAGTATCGTCAAGGCAAAGCGGAACATCCTGATGATAAGGATAAATGCTTTCAATTGCTCTTTCGTCGTGCTGTGGCGGATATTCCATTGATTCGAAAAATTCAATCGGAGAGCTCTGGCATTCAGCGTTTGAAGAAGAATGATATTCTCAAGGACAGTTCTTTTCTTAGTTATAAACTGGCGGAGGATATGATTAATGAAGAGATTAATGACGTCCGTCAAGAGTCGGAGGAACTGATGCCAGGTATTATACACCGTAGAGTGAAGAAGTGGTGGCGTAGTTTGTGTCTTTGATTTGTTGCTCACGTGGTGATGTTCTTGTTGTTACTATTGCAGGTGAGGGCTGGCCAGACAAGATTTTCCCTCAAGCTGTACAGTTTATGAATCAGGTCGCCGAGCAGCAAATGGCGGCCCAGCGCAAGGCGGCGGAGGCACAGGTGAAAGCCATGCAGGCTGCACGTGCTAAGACCATGGCACAAGCGGAAGCTGCGGAGACTGCTATTAAGAATATTGAGGCAAAGGTTGCAGTCAAGGATAGAAAAGGAGAGACGATCCGAAAGAGGAAGTAAATGACCTGTGGTCGGTGCCGTAGCGGCTTCCACCATCTCGTAAATGCCTCTGATATGGTCTTCACCTTCACGACTTCGGTGCTCGATCCATTTTGTGAGATAGACAGTTTGTTTGATCAATTTGTGTCGTTTTCTCTGCTATTGCTTTCTTTATTTATCGGCTGCCACGGATGCAGCAGCGTGTAGAGCACGGTCAACGGTGACGATATGCTGCAGTGTAGCTTCCTGGAGCTTTCGCACTGCAGCTAGCGACAGTTTTGCTGTTGGTACTTGGCTTTCTATTAGGCGATCTGCCGTCTTGCTTTCTGTGAGGTGATTTGCCGTCTTCTTCTGTGCCGCGTCCTTACTACAACTGTGAAAGGTCTTTGGATCTCGATTCATCCCACAGCGCACGCTTATCCGCTGAAGCTCTTGTGCAACAATTGTCTGAGCTTCGTGCCGCTTCACGTGGCGTTTTATCCGCTCCTCATGCGACGAAAAAGCCCAGTCGCCGAACTCCAATGCTTGGTAAATGTAGGCGCGATGTCGAAGTGGCGCTGATGCCAACGTTGTCTGATGTACCCTGCCGTCATTAAAGAAAAAAGAGCAGCACTCGCCATCGCGTTCGACTTGAAGGATAGTACGATCCGCAAAAACTACGCGGATACGACCACCACGGAATGCACGGAAGCGTCCGAGCTCATTGTTCACCTCCTCAACCAGCTGAAGGTCGTTTGGCTGCGTTGAAGACGATGGCGAAACATTGTGGTTCAATGCTTGGAAAGCATACTTAAATGCTTGAAGCACGTAGTCTATGTGTCGGCAAAACGATAGAGTATGCTTTGCATCAATGGCAGATGAAGGTGGGATTGTTTCGCGCGTAAACCGGTGTTCAGGTCGTCCAACGTCATTATACCATGTGAAAAAGCCATCGCATCCTGTCAACAAGGAATGTTCACAGTCTACTTGGACCTACCCGATTGGAATATACACAACACATTTCAATAAGTTGCAAAGAACAAATCATGCTGCACACGTTGCCAGTACGTACCACAATTTCTGGCAGAAACTTACTTGGTCTGCAAGACACAAACAACGTTGTATCTTCTCCACTCACCTCTGCCACAACACGACGGTACAACATCTTAGATGGAAGCGTAGCAACTCGCAATATCTCCGCTAGCGTCAGACAATGTTCTTCATGACCAGACATCGGAGCTCCATCACTACTTGCAACAATGACCGAAAAGGCTGGATGTGCAGCAAAAGCACCATTTCGTGGTAGCGACGTTACTCTTTTGCATGAATCTTTCTTCTCATCTATTTGTGGATACTCGATCTCAGCTTCATGATCCGTATCCCATACTGCTTTTGCTGCCAGCAAAAAGTTCACTGGAAAGTCAAAGCTCTCCTGTGTCTGATGAACCGCAAACGACTGATGCATTGTTGCATAGTGTGCGTGACTGCTCTCGTTCTCTAAGTCACTGTCTGATACCTTTACTTCCGTCAAATAATACAGTTCCACTAACTTTCCACTCGCATGCAATTGAATTTTAGCTGCTCCCTCGATCGATTGCATCTCGAAACATTTCTCCTCGCTATTGTACAGTCTCGAGACTTTTACCTTGCCTTTATTAAATGGCCACCTCGCACGAAGCACTTGAATACGTCTCTGATACCTAATCTCCTCTTTATTCATCAGATGATGATGCAGATACGGCAATTTCGTGGTCAATCGGTTGCGTAGATGAAGCGTATCCATAACAAGAGGTCGATGAGTCGACAAAGTAGTAGGCGTTAAGTGTCGTGTGCGAGTTCCATCTGGTCTAATATATGTATATGTATGACCTGAAGATTCTAGTACTACTGTATGCGTCTCATGTAGATGATGCATGTAGCATCCAATGGTCGTGCCATCTGCCAGGACGAGACATCGCTGACGCTTTGTGTGTTGTGGTAACATATTATTATATTGAGTTGCAACATCAAGTTGATGGAATAAAAGAAAAGCTTGTCAGCAACGTAAGGTTTCGATTGGCGCAACAATATCATACCAAGGTTGCACATCATATGGCATATCATCCGTTATGTAAACTTAACAATATGCAATGAAAGTGTTTGTAAATGGAAAGATCTGGCAATGGGCGGACGACAACTCGGTCGTTCATGAGACATTCTCAGACTGGATGACCGTATCAAATGACGGACATTTTGTTTCTATAGGATCAGGTGTACCTCATGATGCTGAAGAAATCGAGGATCTGAATGGTGCGCTAGTGTTACCAGGATTGCACGATGCACACATTCACGTGTTAATGATGGGTGAAAGCGCCGAATGGCTTGATCTGTCGGGTTGTCATTCTTTTAAAGAGTTTGCAGAGCGTCTTAGGATATATGATAACCAGTATCCGGATAAAGCTTGGGTGGTGGGCTATGGATGGGCGCAGGACGATCTCTCGAGTGACGCTAGATACCCGTCTCGACACGATATCGACGCAGTAATCCAAAATCGCCCTGTGCTTCTACATCGAGCATGTTGGCACATTGCAGTGGTGAATACAAAAGCTCTGGAAATTGCAGGTGTTGAGCTGACTGCGACGAGTTATGACTGTAAAGATGGAGCTATCGATGCGGATGAAGAAGGGGTGACTGGCATCGTGAGAGAACATGTAATGTTTGATGTATGAATGAGATTACTATTGGAAGTAATAGCTGATGTAGAGTGATGTAGGCCGTGCAAATAGTGGAAAAGCACGCGATCGAACCGTCCTTGGGTAGGTAATTGGTAGAACTCTAGTAGCAGCGCGGTATACTGACACGTTTTGTGTGTCGTGGTGTGTATGACGTTGTAGACCTGCGTGTAAAGTACTACAAGAACGCTCTAAGAAGATGTGTTAGTTCAGGTTTGACCGCTGTTCACACAAACGATGAGGATGCGTGGCATGTGTATACCAAACTGCAGAACAAGGAATGCCTTCCTGTTCGTGTGTATCTAACGCCGTCATTTGACGAGCTAGGCAAGCCTACGATTCCAAAGCCTGGAGATTGTAATGGGCTTGTTTCGTGCCATCGTATGAAAATTTTCAGTGACGGCAGCCTTGGAGCGGTAAGAAACTATCGCGTTTATCAGAGCAGCAATGAAAGCATGACTATAAGTCTTGTTGTTACGCGTCCAGGAAACAGCAGCACTGCGCGTTCCGTACAAAGGCACATGCAACAAAGGGATTCTTATGAACTCGGATGAGGATCTTGTTAAGAAGATAAGTGACGCAAATAATGCTGGGTATCGTGTCGAGATTCACGCAATCGGTAAGTTTGCGAATGAAATATAGTGTAGTAGTACTTCTGTTGCGTTTAGTCTGACTTGCTGAACAAAACAAGGTGATCGAGCGGCAGAACAAGTGCTGAAAGCTCTCAGGAATGCTGATGTTGGGCCGCAGAGACGTCCTATTCTCACGCACTGTCAGATTCTTGGTGAAGACCTGATTCTTCAGATGCACGAACAGGGTGTGATCGGCAACATTCAACCGTCATTCGCGGTGACTGACGCAGTGTACGTGCGTAAGCGCTTGCAAGACGATGTTATCCCGTTTTCATATTGTTGGAAGCGCATGTTGGACGGCGCTGTTATGTGTGCTGGAGGCAGCGATGCGCCCATCGAGACGTGCAACCCGTTTCAAGGCTTGTATGACGCCATGTACCGCCACAAGCCCGACCGACCCGAGGAGGTGTTTTTGCCAAAAGAGCGACTTCTGTTTCACGAAGCTCTTGCGCTGTACACGAAAGGTGGAGCATTTGCAGCAATGGAAGAAAACAGATTGGGTCATATTGCTTCAGGCTTTTATGCAGATTTCGTGGTGCTTCGCAAGGACGTGACTCAAGATCATCGTGCACTACTGACACCTAATCTCGTGGATAGTGTCTGGGTAAATGGTAAAAAGACATATCAGTATGATCCCGCTGCATTCAAAAAGTCGCAACATGATTTGAGCAAGAGTTCGTTGCCAGGAAAGAACGGTCCAAAGCGTGTTTGCCAATGTTGTCGGCGTTGAAAATGATTCGTAACAAAACGACTGAATGACCATTTAGTGGTTCCTAATCATGATGTATATTTATATGATTGCAACATGAATCATAAAAAGAATAGAATCATTAGTACAATGTATTAATAGCATCAGTTTCTCTTCAAACATTATAAATTCTATGATTTAATAATATTGATTACAATGCGTGGCGTGACCAATGCAAATAAAACAATAACCACAAACATTAGAAAGGACACGATGGAATTTGGGGGCACTCCGACTGGAAATGCGACATCTCCACGCGTAAACAAGAAGACCATGAGAGCGTATATAGGTCACACTGTCGCTCTTGTTGGTGCTGTGCAAAGCCACTTGCCCACCGCCGTCGTTCTGCGCACTTCTGTAAGTTCATTTCTTGATACTTTCTTTGGAAATGAAAAAGAGAGTCACTGTTGATTTGGGTTTTGCTGGTGTTAGGACGGAGATATCGTCAACGTTACACCGCAGCCGGGAAGTGATTATGGCAGTAAATTTGTCGAGGTGATTGGACGAGTCGTTGATACGGAAACCATTCAGGAGTTTAAGACGACGCTCTTTGGTGACAACTTTGACCTGGACGTGTACGATCAGTTTGTGCAGCTGTCCCAGAGCAAATATAAGCATTTGTTTACGTAATATTTCTTCTTATGAATGGAAAACACAAAATAGCTCGAGGCTGTAGTTGAACGCTTCAATATATAGATTTTTCACACGTCGTTTTTATATCAATGCTGTTATTCTACAGCAACTTGGCTTGAAAAGCAGAACTTTGTTCAGTAAAGTCTACAGGATGAAAGGTACAGAAAGACAGACGTCCGTGACATAACACACTTCATGTCTCAACGGTATCAACGTTAGCAGTATAAAGCGTTCGTAACATATTAACTCACAGATGAACTCGCTCCGTGAAACATCTTGATTGCGTCTGCATAAATGATACATAAGCACCAATTGTATTGACTACAAATGGTCGCGCGACTAAATTCTGTCATTTTAATACAAATTGATGTATATATATATGAATGTTCTAAACGTCGTTTAAAGGTCTCGTACTTAATTGAGCTTAATGTTGTCTTTTTTCTGCAGAGAGTGACTCTTTAGTCACCAATCATAATCTAGCAATTTTAGGCATACGTCATTAAGTACAGGCTTTACTTGCTAGTTATCTATATTTACAATTTGACAAAAAAGGTAGATAAATATTAAACCCAAGATGTTCTTCTTTGTCTTTTTTACTGACTCTTTTTCTACCAATAAGAGATGGCTCCCCCCCTCTCCCTCTGACGCTCTAAGGACGGTATAGTTGCCTCGGACACGAAGAAGGTCGTTGTCCGGCCTTATATTAGTCTCTAGAGAACGTAATTAAGCAAAGGAAAGCGCTTTTTCTTGATAGGGTCTAGTATATATATATATATATCAACTCTTTCTCGTCAAATGGAGTCAAATACGACACCTATGGATGATCTAAACTGTCCTTCCAAGATATCTACAATGCCTGAAGACGCGGCTGATGAGATTATCCATGACTCCGTAATCGGTCAAGAGATTGTAACTGCATCTACAGCTGTAAATAATAGAGAGAAGAAAGAGGATGAAGAAGTAACAATGGAGATGAGAAATACACAGGAACAACAGAAGCTAGAGACTGTCGAGGAAAAGACAAAAGCAGAGATGGAAGTTATTGTCATGGAGAAAACGCTTGATACGACAATGACAACGATGATGATGGTTGATGATGATAACGCTGATGATGATGATGGTAGTAGAAATGATAGTAATGATAGTAATATGACTGAAACAACAGATGTTATGATGGAGTTAGCAGTCTTTGAGGATGAGGAAGAGAATGATGATGAATTTCATGAAGCATTAGAAGATGGTGTGGATATGCTGGAAGATGAGACAACCATGATGATCGATAAATTGACTGTTCCTCCCACGATGAGCTTTTCAGTAAATGAGATGGAAGTGATTACGAATCGAAATGGACGAACTGGTAGTTTGTCCAAGTTTTTAGATGATGCAGATACGTATCGTCGGAGATCTTTGCCGTCGTATCCTGATGATCAAATGTTTACGACCTCGATGAATCAGAAAAAAATGACATTAATGGCGTTTTTGGATATGCAAATTGACCCCGTTCTGGAGATTTTGGAAGATACAGACTCGGATATTCGACTCTGGCTGATGCAGCCGGAAACAGTAAAAGAGGTGCTTGCGGAGTTTGTGACCCCGCCAGTGCTTTATGGTGAACCACATGAGGAATATGGCTATTATAAGAAACATTTTTTGTGCTCGGAAATCATTATGAAACTCTACACGGGTGAGGAAGATTTGTACGAATCTTTTTCATCGGACTCAAGTTCGGGATCTGCTGCATCCACGGCTGTCTTTGGCTGCCAGGAGAAAGAGGATGTTGATAAATGGGAACAATTGTATTCGATTTTTAAGAATCCCATTCCGCTGGATGAGATGCAGCTTTTGTTTTTCAGCAAGGCACTTGTGCGTCTGCACGACGGATTTTGCCTTGAGGAAGGATATGTCAACAATGTACTTAAGCGTTTTTTGCCGATGGTCATTCCTCATTTGTACTCAAATACTATTAAGTACATGCTCACGTTAATTTTGCAAAGCTACGAGAGCGTGCATCCCATTACCGGACGCAATGACGCCATGGAAATTGTAGCGCCGTTGATTGCCAAGACCACCAGCGTGAACCCGGCATTACCCGAAAACCTGTCGCTTGTAGAAAATGCAACCACCCTTCTTGTCGATATGCTTCAGGCAAATCAGGCAGACCGATTAGGTGCATTCAGTCGTCGTGAGGGTGGTGTACATTTGTCTAAGTACTTTGTGCGTGACCAGTTTGGTACGATCCGTGGCTTTGAGTCGATGACGCACGGCTATCACAATTTTCTACAGTACATGCTGCTTGAAGAGATGTCGAAGCAGCCTGCGATTGTTGAGGAACTTTTCAAGAATGCTCTGGATGAACTTTGTATAATGCGCGACAAGAAGCTGAGTGAAGTATCTAGTGTTCTGAACATTCACGTGGCGTCTGAATTGTTATCTTTGTGCCAAAAACTGATGAATGAAAGTACAGAAAATGACGACGACAATAGCCAAACAGCTGAAACGGAAGTTCAGAACACGCAAATGTTTGGGTACTCCAGCTTGTCATCGGAGCATTATCCTAACCCACAGCATGACGCTAACGAGACGTCCATGTACAATTTGACGTCACTTCCCCGTAGCCAGGCGCTGTGGACGCACGTACTTGATGTGGCTCGGAAGTCGTGCGGTTCGTTTGTTGAACAATTAAACAAGGGACTTCCATCTTCCGTCGAGATTTCGTTGGCAAAGTATTTGAACAACCTTGTGTTGCTGAACGATGCTAGTGTGGACGAGGAGCTGCATAAAAGTGGCCTCATTCAGGCTTACCTTGCTATTCTAGAGAAGCGACCATCATTTGACATGCTCATCATCCATATTGTACCGGCAATCTCGTTCCTTCTTCGTGATGCTGATGCTTCTCGAGCAAAAAATTGCCCCTTGACGAAGGACCTTTTTGGCATTGATACCAAGATGCCTGAGAATATCATTAGCTTGCTGCTACGTGCAAAAGTCGATATTCCGTCGCTTGATGTCTATGCTGCTATTTTGCACGATGTGATCGATGAAATTTTTACGAGCAAGGCGCCATCTCAAAACAACGCGCAGGTTGTGTTTCATTGCAAGCGTAACCCTGCGTGGTCAAAGCTTTCGGAGAAGATCCGGTTTAGTAGCGGTTCTGAAACGTCGGACTTGACCCGTGATTCTGACGAGAGGAGAAGCTCTGTCGGTGAACAGATGACTGCAAGCGAACGCAGTCAGATTGTTGAGCCAGCCCCGATTGGTGAGGAGTGCGATGCATTAGGGACAGCTCAGTTAAGCGAGGAGCAAAGCTCAGCGCCTACTGAGGATACAGAGACAGCAGCGGAACGTATCTCCTCAGGCAGAAGCAGCTTAGTTAAAGAGAAAGAATGCCTGGTGTCTGAGTCGACATCGACTGTATCAAATTCTCAGAATGCTGATTTGGACTCCGCAGTTGATGGACAGCCTACGACTGTTGAAAAGAATGAAGAGCCAGACGCGGATTTAAAAAGTATGGCTTCGTCCTCTACCGTTGCTGACGCAAATGAAGCGAAGCTGTCGTCTTCTTTATTGGACAAGGAAAAGAAGGCTGACACTAGCAGGAATAGTGAGAGTGATGGCTCGCGCAAGTCGCACTACTTCAAAAATGTGCTTCAGTCACCTGTGTTTAAATCTCCAATGCGCTTGGGTTCCGTTATTAAGCCTCCATTTGCTCCACCAGCTCAAGATTCTAATTCTTTGCAGGCCGATGAAGATGGCCAACAGCGCAACACATTTGGCTGGAATAATGTGTTCAAGCGCTTACGAAAATCGCTTGTGACGACACACAACGAAAAAACCGACAAGAAGGTATTGGCGCTGAGTAACGAAGCTTACGCCTCGCCGAACGTGGCTCCACGCCAGACGGACGTGTTCGTAGTGGACACATCTCGTGGCAATGACATTACAACGTTTGTAAAGCGCGATGCGGGTGTGGTAGTTGCTGATGTTCCAGTGGCATCGTCAAGATCTTCTGAGTCATCGATGAACGTTATTACGTCTGGTTATATGTATAAGAACAAGTATCCCGAAACAGGCCACAGAAATGTGTGGGAGCGATATTACTTTGTTCTCAATCGCTCGGACGGCTCCTTAAGCTACTACATAAGCGAAGCTCATGCTAAGGACCGCACTTTTGTTCGAGGTACGTCGCGTCCGCTCACGGTGTCAGAGGGCCTTCCCATGCATGTACACGGCCAACACGGTGTGTTTGGATTTCAAATTAACACGCAAGGCCACGGCGCGTTCATGGTTCTGGTGGACTCTATTGATACTCGTCTCACATGGCTGACGGAGATCTTGTTGTGTGTCTCCAATGCCAACTCATCGCTTCCGCTTCCAAAGCAGCGTCTGTCACTGCTGCCTGATGATGTACCGAAGCAGCGTTTGTCAGCGACTTCGAGCTCGATTGGCTCAATGAAGTGCAGCAAGGAGGAGATGAAAGAACTTGTTATAGAATTTTATCGCAATTTATATGGCCCGAAACTAAAGTTTTCGTCGCCGTTGGATGCGCCGGCGTCTTTCTGGATGGAAGAAAAGATTGACCCTGTATCTGACGGTTGCGTACTGAGCTCTAATCTACCCGACTGCGTGCCTTATTGGGGCGAGTTTCACGGTTACAAGCGAATATGTGACTACTGGAAAATTCGTGACGAGACGGTGGAGCGTAGCAGTGGACGTGTGCTCCGTATTTTAGTTGATGAGGACGAGGAGACAGCAGTGGTGATGACGAATACGACGTTCCGTATTTTGCGTAATAGCGAGATCGTAACAGAGGAGTCGTGCGACATCGTGAGCGTGAGCGGTGGCAGCATCGTTAGCATCCACTGTACCTTTGACTCGCACCGCATTGCGCAAGCTTTTAAAAAGTACGCATTTACCTAACGGTGTCTTTTGTTTGTGCATTTCAATGTACAGCAGCCTCATTCCTAACTTTGTGATTTGCTTTGTTGTTGTGTTGCAGGGAAGGTATTAGTGCGTCGTAAACGTGCATTCATTATTCTCGTGATACGCGTGCAAGTGCGTGCACGTGTGCGAAACGAAGACGCAAGCGCTATTCTCATTGAATGCAGGCGAAAGAAGACACCAGTAACGTTGTGAATGAACAGATGACGACGGAGGTGGGTTCTGCAAGGAGCTTAGTGCCAAGTCTTCTATTGTCACATTTCCAACATCCTATGTAGAGATCTAGAATGAGAGAGCTGAGAGAAAACAACATGTTGTAGAGGACGCTGTATACAGAGATATGCGTGGTAGTCCCATGTTCCTTACTATAATATTAACGATTTCCTCAGCAAATATAGCTAACCCCAATTTGACAACCCGTTTTTGCTGTATAAAGTAAGACTAAGCATAATTTATTGAGATTTTTAGTCTCTAATTTGAAGGAGTAAAGCTTTAATTTTATGGTTGGACAAGTATACTCGATTTGTCAATCACTGTCCATACAAAGTGCCATATTAGACGATTAGCCACTCGTTTTTGGGGCTTTTTAACGTCCCATTTATAGATAGAGTTAATCTTATCATCACCATTCATCATAATGCACCGCATATTAGTGAGCCGTTCACTGCAGGTTTTATCCACCCATGAGTGTCACGTAGCTCATCTTCTCCGTCGGACTGTGTCTTCATCGCTACCGGATGGTGTGTCTTCACTTACAATGCCGTCATTGTCTCCTACAATGGAAACGGGATCCCTTTCCACGTGGCTTAAGAAAGAAGGCGATGAGATTTCTCCAGGTGACGTTCTATGTCAAATCGAGACGGATAAGGCTGTTGTTGACTATGAAGTGCAGGATGATGCTGTGGTGGCCAAGATTGTGTGTCCTGAAGGTACAGCCGACCTTCCTATTGGTGCCTTGCTCGCTTACACTGTGGACGACCTAGACACATACAAGAGTCTGTTGGACAGTGGAGCGCTTGCTAACTTACCAACAGAAGATCAAGCATCTAATGTGGAGATTGCAGTACCGGTGGCAGCTAAGAAGGAAGAGGAAAGAGAGGAGACTGGTCGCTCACCGCTCATTAAATTCTTGGGCAAGCGTACGCTCCTCCCTGAGTTCAATGATTCACCGATTAAGGAATTTGAAAAGTCTGTGGATGCAGCTCAGCCAGAAACAGCTGTACCAGTTGTCTCCCATACTAATGATGCTGACGCTGAGTTTAAGGACCTGCCACTGTCCAATATGCGCAAGGTTATCGCCAAGCGCTTGAGTGCGTCCAAGAGAGACGTGCCTCACAGCTACACGAGTATCAACTGCGAGATTGATAACATTTTAAAGTTCCGCAAGCAGCTTAGTATCAAACATGATGTCAAGGTTGGTATGAACGACTTTATCCTTAAGGCGGTCGCTCTAGCGTTGCGTGACGTACCGGAAGCCAATTGTTTCTTTGATGTCAAGACCCAAAGTGTGCAGAGAAACTCGTCGGTGGATATTTCAGTAGCTGTAGCCGCTCCATCGGGTCTCATCACCCCTATTGTGCCGAAGGTGGAGACCCTCGGTCTGAGCGGCGTCAACCGCATATTTATGGAGCTCGTGTCGCGCGCGCGTCTGAACAAGCTGAAGCCGGAGGAGTTTCAGGGCGGGTCGTTCACTGTGTCGAACCTTGGCAGCTTTGGCATCGAGCAGTTCCGAGCTGTGATTAATCCACCGCAAGCTTGCATTTTGGCCATCGGTGGCGGACGCAGAGAGGTATTACCGCCTCTGGAAATCGTGGAGGGTGTGAACCCGAAACCGCGTATTGCTACCCTCATGAACGTGACGTTATCGTCGGACCGTCGCGTCGTTGACGGTGTCATTGCTGGCCAGTTTTTGCAAGTATTCAAAAGTTACATGGAGAGCCCGGAACTCATGGTCCTGTAAGCAGCTTCATGTGTATAGCGCTAGATTCATGAGCTCTTCACCACTAATAGCTGGAAAGCGTGACGGGAGCTCTGGTTTGAAAGTCAAGTTCTTTGCGAATGATGAAGTTTTGAATGCAAATACAGATGACCGCGCGAATAGTTTGTTGTCAACCTGAGCAATAACAAGGGCAAACATGCGATGTCTTTCCGTATTCAATATTGATCAAGCCTTTTTGTAGTCTTTTGCATGTTCATTTTTCCGTTTTTATAGCCCCAGTTTTGCAGTTGGAAACTAAGGCAGGTTCACTCCGTCAACCGGTAAGCTGCGCCTCAAAATTCATGTCATGGAAGGATGAAGTTGTGTCTACTGCATTTTCCGGCATAAATTTCAGTCCGATGCTCTTACGTTGCTCAAATCAAGATCGTTGTCTACACTTGCAAAATTTTGCGTTTAGAGCAGGTTTTGTTTTGTACAACATGCCGATTGATATTTGAATCGTATTGGAGGAAGAAAAATGCAGACAGACTATAAGCACCAATGCATCGGCATTTTGCTGTAATCTACGGGGTAAGCCGCATCATCATAGTTGTCAATGCAACTATTACCCTCAAAAGATTCATCCTGTTCATGAATATTATTTTATTTAACAATATTCAGAAGCATCCTGCTCATTAATTTATAACAAACAGCTAACACAAGCGGTCTAATCAATATTCGACGCGTGTAGCAGAGCTACCGTAGCAAAGCTACTTATGCACTTAGTGCAGAGGAAGACAAGCTCATAGAGCTTTTATGTAGCAGAGCTACTGTAGCAAAGCTACTTTTGCACTAGGTGCAGAGGAAGACTAGCTCCAAGAGCTGTGTGTCTTAGGGCTCTTAACCCTCCTACAGATAGCTTCGCAAGCTTATGCCTTTTGGTTGCAAATAAGCACGTCTCCAGGAGACTAGTATCAAAGATACAACTTCCTTTCTTTCAAGGGTTAAGCTATCGCATGTATGCTATCCAGAGCAGGTTTCAAACAGATTTATTTAATGTTTTCCTTCGAGCATTAAATATAGAAGCACCTACTCTATACTTAGTGCTAGTCACTATTTACTGGCTCTGTAGCCTATTATTATGCAAACATGTATAGTCACTATACTTAACTAAGTATATTAACCACGACGATGCGACCCTTCGTACCTTAGGTACGGTCACATCAACCTACCACTGTACCCATGGTACAGCCACACCACAATGGTGTGGCAGGTGTGTATGTACAATACACACCTTCGTGTAACCCCGTTGCACCCTCCCCACCGATCCGTGGGACCCGACGTACCTACGAATTTCGAACTTAACGTGAAGTTCTGTCGATTTCATTTTCTTCTCATTTTGCTTGCCTCGCAATAAAGTGCCTCGCACATGCGTACAAAGATTTGTGCTACGACACTCAATTTTGATGCATCTGTGCTTTCCACTGACGCTTTTTAAGCACCCTAGTGGTTCGACACTTGCTACTCGAGCATACAGTGCATTGCACTCACGCTAAAGATTTAGTGTTACGACACTTGCTTATAAGCGTCAAGTGCCTAGCACTTCGTAATAAAACCCATTAGTGTTTGTGTGGTAAAGTGGGTTCTCAAACTGCGTAATGACACCCCAAGCCACTCACTGTGCCGGACTGCCGACCGTCGGAGGTGGTACCTCGATGCCGTGTATAGACCTTCTCTCACCTTGTGTACCCGTCGGCTGGCGGATTGCACTCTTCGGAGGACTTGATTGAGATGTGATGTCGGCCTTGAGAGAGGTCGACTGACCTTGGGGTGCCTCGAGTGGGTATACTTCACTCGGTAGGCGGGTGGGTGGTCACTCGGTCGACTAGGTCAAGGGTGGACTTACGACCAAATTCTTCAGGGGAGATACTCAACCCTGGCCTTTTCCTTCCACTGATATCTCAGGCGTGTTAACTGCCTGGCCTTTACTTGCTCCCAGACCACTACGGTAGGAAGACCGCTTCCGATAGCGGGTTGATTGGGGGGGGGGGGGTGCTACTCGGACGAACCCACAGGCCAAATATATCCTGGAATTCTATTTGCACTTGGGTCTTACCACACAACTGTCTTCGACGGGGGCGGAACAGGTGGGCAGACTTAGTAAGTACCTTGGAAGCACGACGGAGGTGTGCTATGTAGATCGCAAATTGAGTAGTATCTAATATGATCCTATCTCTTAACTTCTTTACTCTATCCTTACCCCGAGACCTAATTATTGATTCTACTAGCCGAAGGGCCGGGTGACCGAGGGGCCGGGTGACCAAGAGGCCGAGTGACCGAGGGGTTGGGGGGTTGACCGAGGGGCCGGGCGACTGAGGGTCCACCAACCGAAGACCAGGTCCACCAACGAAAAACCAGGGTCTACCAACGAGGAACCAGTGTCTAGCACATAAGACTAGGGTCTACCAACGAGAAACCAGTGTCTAGCACGAAAGACTAGGGTCTACCAACGAGGGACCAGGGTCAGCCTCAAAAAGACTGGGGTCCACCTCGAGGAACCGCGGTCCATCAGACAAACCGCGGCTAACTCCTCTGAATGGAGCACGCTTAAACCGTACATTCTACTCATCCAACGATCGTCCCCCGTCCCTTTTAGCGCCCCGTCTCTCTATCCCTTACCTAACGGTCGCTCCTCCTTAGCGGGTCCCCTTCTCTTTGCCCACCGGTCCTCTGACCTAACAATTCTTGAAACGCTTCACCACAGCCGACATCTGCAACTTGATCAACGATACAGCCGCTTCAACACGCGCATGTCTTCGAATCCTCCATCTCGTAAGTACTCCTTGTTTGTTTGGCCGTTCGATATATGTTGTCTGACTTGACGCACCTCAGGTGTTCCTTCCACTGAGGTAGACCCAACGGCCGAGGGGCCGGGCTTGGGTACTCCTGCCCTTGCCGTTGAACCAGAGGTCCAGGTTCCCTTCCAAACACAGATCGACACTCCTCTCCAAGAGCCCGGGCCAAGGAAGTCTACCGTGGCTCCTTCTGAGGTCGTAGGTGGTGAGGGTCCCCCAGACGTGGGCACCGATGTACTAAATTGAATGGTGGCAGTCTACATGTCTGTACGCCACTTACTATAGAGCTTGATGAATCATTCACAGCCGGCAATGACAGCGAAGACCAAGCATACACCTGACCAGAGCTCGTGCCCTCAAATGTATATAAGGTGCCAGCGTCCAAATGGTTCAAATCGAGATCTTCGTTGCGGCAAGCTGGCGGCTCAGCTATCGCAAAATGATCATGGGGAAAGCACTTTGAAGCTCGACGTGGATTATCGGGGTAGAAGAAGAGGCTATCAAGCGGTAGGTGCGTATGTCGGGTGCTATATAAGCTGTTTGTGCGCGTGACGAATTGTTAAAGGTAGGGTATGTACGGGCTGTGAAGCCTCGGTAGCTCAGTTGGGAGAGCGTCAGACTGAAGATCTGAAGGTCCCTGGTTTGAACCCGGGTCGCGGCACTTTTACACGCAGCGGTGACCTTCTGTCAACTTACGATTTGATGTTTTGCTGTAACTATCGTGACCACATTGCAGCCGTCTTTTTCCAGCTGTAATGATGGTGAGGCCTTTCCCTGAGCAGCGCGCGTTTGTGCGCATAGCGTCGGTTTGTTGTGTGTATACATTTGAGGGCACGAGCTCTGGTCAGGTGTATGCGTGGTCTTCACTGTCGGTGCCGGCTGTGAGAGGAGTCATCAAACTCTATAGTAAGTGGCGGACAGACATGTAGACTGCCACCATTTAATTTAGTGCATCGGTGCCAGCGTCCAAATGGTTCAAATCGAGATCCGTTGCGGCAAGCTGGCGGCTCAGCTATCGCAAAATGATCATGGGGAAAGCACTTTGAAGCTCGACGTGGATTATCGGGGTAGAAGAAGAGGCTATCAAGCGGTAGGTGCGTATGTCGGGTGCTATATAAGCTGTTTGTGCGCGTGACGAATTGTTAAAGGTAGGGTATGTACGGGCTGTGAAGCCTCGGTAGCTCAGTTGGGAGAGCGTCAGACTGAAGATCTGAAGGTCCCTGGTTTGAACCCGGGTCGCGGCACTTTTACACGCAGCGGTGACCTTCTGTCAACTTACGATTTGATGTTTTGCTGTAACTATCGTGACCACATTGCAGCCGTCTTTTTCCAGCTGTAATGATGGTGAGGCCTTTCCCTGAGCAGCGCGCGTTTGTGCGCATAGCGTCGGTTTGTTGTGTGTATACATTTGAGGGCACGAGCTCTGGTCAGGTGTATGCGTGGTCTTCACTGTCGGTGCCGGCTGTGAGAGGAGTCATCAAACTCTATAGTAAGTGGCGGACAGACATGTAGACTGCCACCATTTAATTTAGTGCATCGGTGCCAGCGTCCAAATGGTTCAAATCGAGATCCGTTGCGGCAAGCTGGCGGCTCAGCTATCGCAAAATGATCATGGGGAAAGCACTTTGAAGCTCGACGTGGATTATCGGGGTAGAAGAAGAGGCTATCAAGCGGTAGGTGCGTATGTCGGGTGCTATATAAGCTGTTTGTGCGCGTGACGAATTGTTAAAGGTAGGGTATGTACGGGCTGTGAAGCCTCGGTAGCTCAGTTGGGAGAGCGTCAGACTGAAGATCTGAAGGTCCCTGGTTTGAACCCGGGTCGCGGCACTTTTACACGCAGCGGTGACCTTCTGTCAACTTACGATTTGATGTTTTGCTGTAACTATCGTGACCACATTGCAGCCGTCTTTTTCCAGCTGTAATGATGGTGAGGCCTTTCCCTGAGCAGCGCGCGTTTGTGCGCATAGCGTCGGTTTGTTGTGTGTATACATTTGAGGGCACGAGCTCTGGTCAGGTGTATGCGTGGTCTTCACTGTCGGTGCCGGCTGTGAGAGGAGTCATCAAACTCTATAGTAAGTGGCGGACAGACATGTAGACTGCCACCATTTAATTTAGTGCATCGGTGCCAGCGTCCAAATGGTTCAAATCGAGATCTTCGTTGCGGCAAGCTGGCGGCTCAGCTATCGC